GCTAGTTTTGTCACTATGGTTATGTTGGCCTCATAAAATGAATTTGGGGGCTTTACTCCCTTCGTTATTTTGTGAAGGAATATATTTAGGATTGTTATCATTACTTTTTTTTTTTTTGAGTTGGAGTCTCACTCTGTCACCCAGACTGGAGTGCAGTGGCCGCTCACGGCCACCGCAGCCTCGACCTGCTGGGCTCCGGTGATCCTTCCACCTCAGCCTTCCAAGTAGCCGGGATTACAGGTGTGCGCTACCATGCCCAGCTGATTTTTTTATTTATTGCAGAGATGTGGTCTCGCCAAGTTGCCCAGGAGGGTCTCGAACCCGCGGGCTCAGGCAGTCCTCCTGCCTCAGCCTTCCAAGGTGCAGGATTACAGGCTTGAGCCACCACACCTGGCCCCCCCTTATCTTTTTAATGTCTATTGGTTCTGTAGTGATATCTCCTCTTTCATTGCTGATATTGGTAAATGTACCTTCTCCCTTTTTCTTGATCATTCTGACTAGAGATTTATCGCTGTTACTAAGCTTTTCAAATAGCCAGTTTTGGTTACACTGACTTTTTTCTATTCCATTTGCATTTTCCATTTCATTGATATATACTTTTCTGTTTATTATTATTTTTAACTCTGCTTATTTTGTGCTTAATCGACTCTTTTATATTTATTAAGGTGGAAACTTAGATTGCTCACTTGAAGTCCTTCATCTTACCTAATGTAAGCATTGAATGCTATAAATTTTTTCTCTAAGCATTGCTTTATCTGTATCCTACAAATATTGTTGTTGTATTTTCATTTTTATCCAATCAAAATATTTTATGATTTCTCTTGTGATTTTTGTCTTTGACTAGTGAGTTACTTGATAGTATACTATTGAATTTCTGTATACTTGGGAAGTTTTCTAGGCATATTTAGGTTTTGATTTCTAGATTAATTCCTTATGGTCACATAACTTACTTTGCATGGTTTCATACTTTTAAATTTATCGAGATTTATTTGGTGGCCTGGAATATGGTCTTTCTTTGTGAGTGTTTCATGTGTACTTGAAAAGAAGGTGTATTTTGCTGTAGTTGGAAGAGTATTCATTAAATATAAATAAGGCTGAGTTGGTTAACAGTGTTGTTCATGTCTTCTATATCCAATTTTTGTCTCTTTGTTCTATAAATTACTGAGAGAGAAATATTGCATTTTGTAACTATATTGTTGATTTGTCAGTTTTTCCTTTCCATGTTATCAATTTTTGCTTTGTTTTTTGAAGCTCCGTTATTAGGTGCATGCACATTAAAGTCTATTACATTTTCCTGGTGATTTAGCCTTTAGCTTTCTACTTCTTACCCTGAAGTTTACTTTTTCAGATATTAATGTAGCTCTTCCATCTTACCTATGATTGGTATGCCTTTCTTTCCATTATTTTACATTTAATTAATTGGTGTTTTTATATTTGATATCTGTTCTTGTAGACAGTATGTAGTTAGGTCTTGTTTTTTTACTCCAGTCTCTGCTTATCAATCTCTGCTTTTTTAATTGGAGCATTTAGACTATTTACATTTAATGTAATTAGTTATATGATATGGCTGCATTAATGTAATTAGTTAAAGATATGGCTGCATTGTCTTCTGGTTTATGTAGTTTCTGATAAGAAGACTCCTGTAGTTCTGACCTTTTGGCTTCTGCAACAATTGTTCTTTTTTTTTTCTGGTCAGCTTCACGATCTTATCTTTGCTCCCCCAGCAGTTTCACTCTGTGTCTAGATATAGTTTTCTTTGTATTTCTCCCATGGTGTTTTGCAGAGCTTCTTGGCTTGCTTTTATTAATTTTGGAAAAATCATTCAATATCTATTCATTTTCTTATTTTTTAGTTTCTATTTTTATTTATTCTTCTCTGTACTCTCTCCTTTATCAGGGACTCCAATTACATGTATATTAGACGATTTGTTCTTGTCCCTCAATTCTTTTTCTTTTTTTTTAAATTTTGAATTGAAGTCTCACTCTGTCACCCAGGCTGGAGTGCAGTGTCACGTTTGCAGCAACTGCAGCCTCGGCCTTCCACCTTAGCCTTCCAAGTAGCTTAAACTATGGAACTATGCTTGCCTAATTTTTTTTCTCTTTTAATTTTTTTTATTTTAAAGATGCAGGGTACAATTCAGGGTTAGGTATACAAATCAAAGTTGTTTTTTTCTTTTTTTTTGAATTGGGGTCTCAGTCCGTAGCCCAGACTGGAGTGCAGTGGCACAATCACCAACACCCCAGCTTTGACCTACTGGGCTCTGGTGATCCTTCGGCTTCAGCCTTCCAAGTAGCCAGAACTACAGGTGCACGTTACCATGCCCGGCTATTTTTTGTTTATTGTAGAGACAAGTTCTCACCAATTTGCCCAGGTTGGTCTCAAACCCGTGGGCTCAGACAATCCACTCACCTCAGCTTCCCAAAGTGCTGGGATGACAGGCTGAGCCACCGAGCCTGGTCTAATTTTTTTATTTATTGTAGAGACTCAGTCTTACCAGGTTGCCCAGGCTGGTTTTGAACTCCTGGGCTCAGGCAATCTTCTTGCCTCGGCCACTCAAAATCCTGGGATTATAGGCATGAGCCACCACACCCAGTCTGTTCTTGTCCCACAGTTCTTAGTTTATCCGTTTTTATTTTCACTCTTCTTACTCTGTTTCAACTTGGATAATTTTTATTACTCTATTTTCAAGTTCAATGATTATTTTCTTTGCTGCGTCTGATTTGCTGATAAACCCATTAAAGGAATTGTTCACCGATATTGAGTTTTTCATTTCTACTTGACTTAATAGTTTCCACTGCTCAGCTGACATCCCATCTGTTCTGGGAAGGCTACCGTTTCCACTACATCTCTTAACATATTCATCAGAGTTCTCTTGTCTCTCTCTGGCAGTGCCAACATTTTGTCTATCTCCAGGTCTGGTTCTTTTATCTGGCTTCTTTTATCCTTTAACACTGGGTCTTTTATTTTACTTGACTTTATGTGTGTCTTAAAAATCTTTGACTGACTACTAGGCATTGTGTGTAAAAGAATAATAGTGAATGACGTAAATTATATTTGTGCCTAAAAATAGAAATATTTCTTATGTCATGGCTTTAGTATAGGGCCTTGTCAGTCTAGTCTGTAGTGAACTTGAGTTTAGGTTTTGTTATTGCTGTAGTTCCCTTCTGTGCACCTCAGCCTCCCGAGTAGCAGGGACAACAGGTGCACATTTTTTTCTTTTTTTTTTTTTTTTTTGTAGAGACAAGGTGTTCCCCAGGCTGATCTTGATTCCTGAGCTCAAGCAGTCCTCTTGCCTCGGCCTCCCAAAGTGCTGGGATTATAGGCTTGTGTTCATCTTTAAGATAGAGCACCAAAATCGTAGTTGCTTGGCAAGGCTTGGTGATTGGTGAGGCTTCATTGAAAGGTAGGTCTTGGCCGTGACATTGAGGAATACTAGAATGCTAGTAACTCTAGGATATTTTTCTTGGAATAGTCAGTTCTTCAGAGAAGGGTTTTCTCCTTCCTGGGGGCACATCATTGACTGTAGCGGCCTTCTGGACGCTGGGTGGGGGAGGACATGGGGAGAATCTCCTTTCCCCTTGATTCTCTATAGTGCGCCTCCCGCCCCGCCCTGGGGCGTGAACTTGGCGTAGATGCAGGATTGGGGATGGCAGAGTGGCGAGGACACCTTGGGTGGCAGAGGAGATCTGGAGGCTGAGTTGGGCGCTTGACAGACTCATAGTTAACAGTCCCTGTTTTGACCCTCGTCCTCCGTCTCCACTGCAGAGGCTCCTATGCCTCCGGTTCAAGACCTCGGTGTGAGGTTTCTCCGCGTCCCCACCCCGGCCTCTCTGAAGGCACTTGCATTCAACTTCTTACGTCTTCTGGTAAATTTCTTATCAGACAGTCACTTGTGTTATCACCTCCAAAGTTTTGCTGACATCTCCCATCTTTGCAGTTGCATTCTTTTCCATTCTGGGTTTTTGTTTTTTGTTTTTGTTTTTTTGGTGACTTTGTGTCTATTTTCTTCATTCCCTCTCACTTTAGTGGGGTTCAGGTGTAGACATACATTTGCTATATTTAAGCAGAAGTTTATTAGCTCATTTTGAAACGGAGGGAAATGAAGTCCTAGAGAGACGGATCCTGGCCCACATGATGAGTTAGTGCAGGACTGGATGAGGTAATGTGTTGCTTGCTCTAAGCAACTTCCTCTGGGTGAGGTCGGGCCCTGGGAGAGCCCCCAGAGAGACCGGTGTTTTTGAGGGGAAACGCATCTCAGGTGGGGCTGCTAACGGCAGCCATGACCTAGTAGTCAAGGATTCTGGAGTCACAGAGACCTGGCTTCAGGCAGCTTCAAGCAAAGCGAGACCTTTGCCCTCTGAGCCTCAGTTTCCTCATCTGGGAAATGCAGGAGTGGTGAGGACCAAATAAGCTGCTGCATGTCCAGCTGGGTATGGTGACCCATGTCTGTAGGACTAGTACTTTGGAAGGCCGAGGTGGGAGGATCACTCGAGGCATGAGTTCAAGACGTGCCTAGGCAACAGTGAGACCCTGTGTCCACTTATTAAAAAGATAAATACATTCAAAAAAAATAAAGGTGCTGCGTGTTCTACGTGGGCATGCCAGATCCCTAGAAGTAAGAGGCAGCCGGGCTCGGTGGCTCAGCCTGTAATCCCACGCCTTGGGAGGCTGAGGTGAGTGGATTGCCTGAGCCCACGGGTTCGAGACCTGCCTGGGCAACTTGGTGAGACCTCATCTCTACAATAAATCAAAAATTAGCTGGGCGTGGCAGTGCGCGCCTGTAGTCCCAGCTACTTGGAAGGCTGAGGCGGAAGGATCGCCAGAGTCCAGGAGGTCGAGGCTGCGGTGGCCGGGAGCAGCCACTGCACTCCAGTCTGGGCGACAGAGTGAGACTCCAACTCAAAAAAAAGAAGAAACAGGCTGCTCTTTTGCTGTAAGTTGATGGCATGTGCTTTTTCCAGGGCAGGTGCCACCTCTGGGAGGAGCCCCGAGCACAGGCCATGGATCGCTGTGGGCCCCTTTTCCTCTGCCTATGCCTCCTGGCAGTACAGAGCATGACAGCAGGTGAGGGGGCTCTGAGCACTGGGGCATCCTAGCCCAGGCCCTGGGCTATTTACAGGGAAGGCAGAGACTCTGTGGGATTTAGGGGCAGCAGGCACTGCTGGTGAACTAGAGCTTCAGGCTGGGGATGGAAGGCCCAGAGGCCACGAGGCCGGGGGCGGCAGAGGACACAGGCTGAGGGGGAAGCCTGACCCTCACTCCCCACAGAGACATCACAAGCACTCCTGCGCTGGATGGAGAAAATGGAGGTGGCCAGGGGCCGGAAACTGCCTTCTTCTTTTGCCACGTGAGTCTGGTGTCTTCCTCTCCTACTCAGAGGCTGGGGCTCCACCCCAGGCCTGCCTCCTGAGTCAAAGGTCCTGGGTCCATCCAGCGTAGACTCTTAACCACTCATTTTTTCAGCATGTTTACTGAGCATCTACTGTGTGCCTGGCACTAGGCTCTGAACCTGCAAGACAGACATGTCATTGCCTTCATGATGCTTATTGTCCAGGGTGAGGACCCTTAGCCCCGTGGTTGCCATGAAACCAGTGCAGGATCTCGGGTCTTTGTGCATTTTCTTGGAAGGGGGCTCTGTCACTGACTGGGCTCTTCACGGTCTGTGACCCAAAGACAAAGCAACTCTGGGTAAGAGGCCAATGCTGAGGACTGGTCAGGGCTAAGAGCTGCTACTGGGAAGCACAGGGACACTTCACTCAGCTAGTGGGGAGCAGTCAGGGAAGGCTTCCTGTAGGAGGTGACAATTAACTGGAACATGAACAGGAGTCAGTGAGAAGGGGATGGATTGGTGGGGTGGAGAGGTGGAGGGTGAACCAGGAACACTGTGTGCACAAAGGTCTGGAGGTGGGAGTGACAGAGTGTGGCATGGGGAGCCTCGCTCGCCCCACCCTCACTCCGGGCTCTGCCCTCCCTGGCCATCTCCTTTGCCCTCAGGCAAGTCCACAGCCTGGAGCAGATGCTGCTGGATGTCAGTTTCTGGGGCTCCAACCTGACCCTGAAGACGCGCACCATCCAGTCTCTGGCCTTCAAGCTGGGCTGCAACTTCACTGGCCTCTCTCTGACCAGCACGGCCCTGGAACTGGTGCCCCAGGTCAGAGGCGGTGGTGGGGGTGGGGGAGGCCTTCGCCTCCGCCCTTGAAGTCCTCCAGGGGTTGACTGTCTGGACTATCCCCGGCCTGTGCTACCCCCACCCTGGGCTCTGCCCTAACCAGCCAGGAGTTGTCTCCACTGTAGCTCGGTGCTGATACTTCTCTGTGAACAGCAGAAAGAGGGGGATACTTTGCACCCCCCCGGGGCAGTGTCTCCTTCCTGCTTCTGCAGGAGGTGGCTGGTGGAAGGCAGCACCCCGGGGAGGCAGCGGTGAGGGAGGCTGGGGATAGTCCAGACGGCTTCCGAACCCTGCTGTGTCCCACTGGAGGCCTGGCCGGGTTGTGGGGGCGGGGGCTGGGTCCATCCCCGGGCACCCCAAATGCAGGACTGAGTGGCATGGAGAGAAGGCAGGGGTCTTAGGAAGCCTCAGAGGTGGGGGTGGGGAGGCTCGTGGGGAG